CACTAATTACCTCACCGGAAATTAATTTGTTGTTTTAACTGTATACTTGTCATATCGATTAAAAGCAGTCTGCTGATCCTACAAACAGCAAAGGAAGGCCGCAAAGCCTTCACCTATCGCTTGTGCGACTTACTTGTCTATCTAAACTTGTATGTATGGAGGATATGTTCTTATTATGAGTTTGCCCCTGAACGCAATTTTATCCGATACTGTTTAAACCAAAATCCACCCCTAAATCTTCTTTTAAAAGCTCCAATTAAAAGCACTCCGTTTGACCTACAAACAGCAAAGGAAAGCAGCAAAGGAACTCCCTGAGTGCATTTCGCTTCCACGGGGGGATAAAAAGTGCGCGACATAAGCGCACGGACATAAGCGCGACAAACTATGCGAAATCACTATCCAAAGGAATGCATGCTTGCCAGCATAAAGCGATGACGTCACACAATACGTCATCGCTTAAAAATGTTGTAACCCCCGAAAGAGCAGGTGTCATATTACACGCCTACCTCCCCATGACGGCCACCTCTCTATAACGACCACTTTCCTCTGTCCCCAAGATAGCCATTGTAGAAAGGTTTAACTGTAGTTTGGTAATTTCATTTTTAGGTTCTGGCGTGTCCAAACGAGACAACAAAGGTGTTCAACCAAGTCAGCGCCAGCAGTAATCTGGATTACATTGTAGCTGTTGCCGACACTAATGTAGTGTGTATATGGAAGAGGCTCAAAATTGAAGACGGTAGTTCGCCTTCATGACAGCGTGACCAAGTCCTTGCTGGAAATCTCCCCACCTCGCCGTATCAGCTCGGACAATTTAGTTTATTTAAACGACGTGAAAATATTCTAATTATCGTTTATAGAAAACACATGTTTAACATTTGAAAGTCTTTAGTGGCCTGTTGTTGTTTTCAGTTTAGCACTGGGCATGTGAGAGGTAATGTACAGTAATGTTCGTTCATTGCAGTTTTATGATTACACCTCTCGGCCTTCTTTGCTGTTCACCGTTCACATCTGAATATTGTGAAGATCTAGAGCAAAAATCAAAAAATTGTAATGAAGAACAACCTTCAGAGTTACGCTTTCTGCGACTTTTCGAAGTGTTTTTCAACTGTTGTAAGTTTCTTATACTACAAATGAAGTAGAACTTGATGTTTCAGTTTTTAACTGCTGTTCCTTGCGTTTATACAAGAATATCTAGATACTTTCTTATACAAATTGAGGAAATGTCTGGGCCTGGTTGTTTTAAGCACGATTTCTTTTGATACGAGATTTCTTGCTGTTTGTATTGTTATTATTTTTCCCCTCTGGTAATGTGATGTAAGGTTTGCTATGTCGAAATGAAGCACATGAATTAAAGCAAGTCTGAATCGAAGTTCATTTGCTAAAATTAAATACATAATAAGAAAGTGGATGCAAACACGTTTTCAACGCCACGAGGCGCTGAGCGAAACCTATATAAAAGAAAAACCAGAAATCACTAATTTAAAATTTTATGCTAACCCTGCTCGTGTTGAGATCTTTCTTGGAACAAACGGGCCTCGACATTTTTTACTTTTAGTAGTTTGTTAACAAACTTTCTAGCCTTCCCTTTTGATAAATGATTAATATATCACTAAATCCATGAATACGTAGTTGTGTTATTAAAGAGTAGCTACTTGTAAGGGTTGTGCCATTGTCAATAGTAAATACAAATCGCGGTTAGCTAGTTTACAGTTACATGATAAAGTACCATTTGTACAAAAAACATAAATTAGAGAAATCACAGGGCAGTCAGAAATAAAGTTTCATTAAAATATATTTTTTGTTGTATCAGTTTCTTGATGATCACAGAGGATGGTTTTCTAGCGAATTCCATTTGAGCCCAATTTTATCTGTTAGACTTTTTTTTAAACCCTTCTGACCTTTTTCTTTCCCAAACTTTTTGTCTTTCACTCCGCCCTGGAACTCCCACCGCCCCTGCCCTCTCCCCCTCCTAAAAAAAATAAAATAAAGAAAGTAAGATATATATAGCTAGCTAGCTAGCTAACTAGAGAGGTAAATTTTGCCGTGTATTTATTTAGGCCAAGTGTTAAGCTCAATATTTAAAGGTTTATATCATCGTTTTGCCGAAAACTTCAATGGAGTAGCGGAGCTCCGGCGGCCCGAATTTGCTTCTGAACGGAACACCATACACGTAAAAACCCATGAATTGCTTTTCTTATGGTCATCACGGTCAGAGGTATTGCTCGTGGGCGCATACGCGCGACGACGACGACGAACGTCGCTCTACATCCATGGCGGCCATAATCCAGCTAATAGTTCGAGGTATTCAGCCTTGGATTACAGCGTGCCTCGTGTGTTAGAGAAATTACAGAACGGTTAACACAGCGGAAAAAGTGGTTGATTCGTTGACCTATGACCGTTACGTTCGTGTACCTAATTTGGAGATGGGCTTTTTACAAGAATCCACAAGGACTTTGTGCAAGTGATCAGCGATGAGAGTTTATACCCGTCAACGACCAGTTACTGATTTATCTCCAAATAAAGTTATTTTTCTATAGCTGTGTGTTCATTTTTGTGAAGTGGAGACAAAATCTCTTTAAAAAGCGTTTATCACAAGAAATCGTCGATTGAATTGTTCTCCGAATGCAAAGTTGCACTAGCGGAGTAGTTAATAGGGAGCTTTATAGATTGAACTACGAGTACGAGATTGCGTACGAGTACGATTTTCGACGTTCAAATCAGTGACGTTTCCAGAGTCCTAGTTAACGTTCTTCGTGCTGGTTTTAGGCAGAGAGGGTAGCTCATGGGATGAAATGGGTATGTGATGTGATAATGTGAAGCCTGAAAACTAGAATTGAAACGTCGCTCTCGTACTCGTACCCAAATCTAAAATTCCCTAATAATAGGGACGTTTAGATTGGGCTACAAGTACGAGTACGATTTTCGAATTTCAAACCAGTGACGTTTCCAGAGCCCTGGCTCTTCATGTTAGGTTTGGGCAGAGAGGGTAACCAGAGACGGATCTAGGGGGAGGATGCAAGGGGTGCGCCGCCCCCTCCCCCCCCCTCCCCCCGCGCCTGAGATGAAGCCTTCTTCGTATTCGCTTTTAAAATTTGCATAACCTACGTAGTCAGTTATGCCGTTCCTTTGTGGTGCACCGCCTCCTAACAAAAATTCTGGATCCGCCCATGACGCTCATCGGATGAGATGTGTACGTGACTTGATATCATAAATCCACAAACTAAAATTGAAAAGTCGTTCTTGTACTCGATCGGTACGGACCCGCAAATGATCCCGACCCGCAAATGATCCCGACCCGCAAATGATCCCCGAACCGCAAATGATCCCAGGACCGCAACTGATTCCACCGCAAAAAGTTTGCAATGGCGTGGACTCCATGAAAAGTCTATGGATGGATACATATTTTCTTAATTATCCTAGGTGAAGAAAAGACAAGCACCTCGGGCATAAAAGCAGCAATAAAAGACGTTTAACATATTGCACAAAATACTAAATTGCATGTGTCGACTGCATAAATTTTTCGTTTACGAAACGCACTGCAAAAAGAAACATGAATCTTTGAAGATGCCTCTGCCATCTAATTAACCGCTTAGAACATTTCCCTGTACATTTGTTATACTAGCGTCCTAGATAGCCATTGGAGATTCCTCCGTGCTAGTTACCGTAGTAAAAATGTAGTCAATCCACTTGGGAATTCTCAACTGTCTCCAAATTTGAGGATATTGTGAACATCCTGTGTTATCATACATCTCAGGCCCGGACCCAATAAAGTCATTCAGGGAAGGATCTAGCTAATTTCAAACACAGGATTTTGTGACGTCGGATACCATTTATAAAGTTGCGAAATTTGCATTCAAATCGTTCATACCGCACATTTTCTTGCGTTTCATATAGTAACTGTTGAATCAAAATATTGCATTATTACTGTGAAACTCAGAAAACCGTGAATATATACCAGAAATATTTAAGGATTATTATTGTGTAGCAAGGAAAAAGCCAATTAAGCGTGAGAAAACTAAACCGCAAACACCGGCGATAATAGGCCACGTTCGATATATAAATATTCTAATATGGCTCCGAGGCTTTCAGGACAAACTTCTATGTTTGGTGGTGTTTTCTTTGTATCCAAGTCTCTTGGGAATTGAAAGACAAAGGAAACTTAAAAAATTTGAAATTTTGACCCGAAAGCCTCGAATCGATGTTAGAATAGTGACATATCGAACGTGACCTATTGGTTGTGGTTTTGAGGTTTTCTCGCGTGTCCTGAACTTTATTGTGATTGGTTCAGTACCAAATTAACCTTTTGTAATCAAATTTAAATGTTCACGGTTTTCGGAGTTTCACAGTAATAAAACAAAAAAAGCGATTGCATAAATTTTAAATCCACTGTCCAAATTCCTGAGTCCTCACATTTTCAAATTTTATGGCGAGTCGACCATTTTCGGTCCGGGATCATTTACGGTACAATCTGGGGATCATTTGGGGTCCTGGGGGGTCATTTGCGGGCCTGTACAACGTTTCTTGACTCTCCGCTGTGCAAAGTAACCCCAATATCGTTTCCTCGTTTCTGGAGCTTATTGTTAAAAATGTATTTTTTTTCTTTTGTTGAGGCAATATTTGTCTGAAAGTGTAGAGTAAGCATTTTCGGCCAAAGAGGTGAAAGCTCTCTCTTATCGGAAATTGTGATATTTTAGTGAAGTATTTTACGAGTCCCTTTGGTAATTTTAAGTAACACGCATCAGTTGCACCAAGCACACTTAATGTTATTAGCCTGCGATTAGGCCTACTCGCAGGCAAACTTAATGTGCAAACACTTCAGTAAGCTTCTAGCCTACAGAACAGGCGGATTAGCGGGCAGTGTGCGAAACGCAATACACGAGCGCGGAGCGCGACCACGAGCTCCGCGCTCGTGTATCGCGCTTGACGATCTGCTCCGCTAATCTGCCTGTTCTGCAGGCTAGTAAGCTTCAATTGACCAGGCCAGGCCACTCAGAGCAAAACACGTTATTGATTGGTCCACTTGGACTCACACTCCTTACCTCAGCACTATAATGTGAGAACTCTGTACATGGAATGAAAGCCCAGCAAGCCAAATCTCTATGAGGGACTAATGATATGATCAGAAACTAGTCCTGGCTTTGCCCAGCTAGCGAGAGCAAACGGAAACCATTAATTACAAGATAAGCTGAAGGCAAAGCGCTCTTGGGCGGACCAACAACACGAAAAGTCGACCTGCTGTCATTGAATGAGCAGTAATTCTCAAAGTTTTCATTTTCACCCCGGCACGAATTGTACAGAATTGTAATGTCTTAGTAGTTTTATCAAAGCTGCCCTATCATTGGATGATTCCTACAAACGTGATTGGTAGAAAATCCGCTTACTGAGGGAGGATGTGAAAGTCACGCCCGGACCTGTCGTGAAAGGCTACACACTGAAAAGAATGAACCAAGCGTAGGGAATCTTAACTCGATGCTCTTGATCTCAAGCTAAGAGCTTCCGAATATACTTTTTATTGCAACCGTACAGGAAAAAATGCTCAAAAATAGGCGTTATTTATCTCAACATTTCAAAACTGATATAAACTATTAATACAAAATTGTGTAGACATGCATGGTAAGTATTTTACCTCCAATGCACGAAAGATTATCTAGAAAAGAGTAAGCAAACTGCGCCACGCTCTTTTATTACAGCTCAATATTTCAAAGGAAAATATTAACCCGATATCTCGAGTATTGTGATTTGGTAGCGTCTTACAGTTTGCCTTTACTTTCAGCATTAACAAAGATTGCAAGCTAATTACGACATCTTCCGCTCAACCTTTTCATTCTCTTGCGGTGCTAATTAAGATTAACAGCAACATTATTTCAACGCGACAACTTAATTATTTTGAAATTGTGCGAGTGATTGGTAGCCAACATTAAGCTTGACATTTTTGTTCTGACGCAGTGATCTCAGGTAGTTAAAAGCCGCCTTCTCCTCGTCGCTGGTTATTCCAAGCACTGAGTACATGTTCTTCAAGCCCTCAGATCTCGCTTGCTCAACCACTTTAAGCGCTTCTGCCTTGGCCCCGGCGTCAAGTACGGTTGCTGTGGCGCTCGCATTCTGGGCTATTTCTCTGGCCTCATTGTAGATTTCATTTCTGAGCCTCTCAGTTTCCTTGCGAACAACCTATGATGTATAAAAATTGAGAGGATTAGCTACCATAATTTATTTTCGCTCGATTTTTGCTCTAAAATAACTCGTATTTCCATAGCGGAAACGACAAATCTTCGAAACTGTTTACCTTCTCTTGCAACTCAAACTCGGCCCGTTCCTCCTCGGCCGCCTCCGTGACTTGACGGAGATACCTACTCTTGACGTCATCGTGGATGTCAACAGCGAGCAGCTGGAAATATCTGACCTCCACAAACATTCCTTTCTCATCGTTCTTACACCTGGCGTTAGGAATGCAGTAACCACATGCAGGCATATCTTTTTCTTTAGTAGGACATGTCTCCCTACAGCAGCCATCCACTCGCTTGGCCAGAGCTTTGAACAGCTCCTTTTCTATGTTTTCTCGTTTCCTGATACAGAAAAAAGCAAAACAAAAAAAAACAACAACAATGGTTAGAAAGCACGTATGTTCTCAGGTAGTGCTGAAAATAGACGAAACATCCCATTATTCGTGTCTGTGTCTTGAGAAAAGAATGAAAGCATGAGAGCCAACTCCAGGTTCTCTTGGGTAAAGGGAGAGAGAGAAGAGAAAGAAAATATTATGGGATTTTAGTTCTTCCCAGCCCCCCCCCCCCCT